GTGGGAATTGTAGTTCAGCAACATCTGGAGGGATACAAGTACTCTGTCCCTGACTTAGAGTTGGAGACATCTTCCATTGATATCATCTCCAGAACTGTCTTGCTTCCTACTCCATTGATTAAAGAATCTGTCAAGCTTCTTTTACAGGCTGGATTTGGATTCACAGTCTCACAAAATATAATGTGACGTGTTCGTTTTTGGCTTAATGTTGGGAGACAGTTATGATACAAATTTAATACATTATTATTTAATTAACTATTAATGTAATTTGTGGACCACTGAGGTTTTAAACCATGATTTATGGCTTACTTGTATGTGTACATTCTGTTCAAAATTCAGATGTTTGGCAACTGACTCATATTTATGACCGTTGCTGTGTCTCAAGGAATGCCAGATTCACTTAATAACAGTGCTACTAACTTATCAACTATGCTCATTCACTAAACAATTGTGGCAAGAAAGATTGTAAAATGGGGCAAAACTGACTTAACAAATGTCTCACTTATCAACAGAAATTTTGGGCTCCATTGTGGTTGTACGTTGAGGACTACCTGTTGCTTGGAAGGTTTAGCAGTAAAAGGAAACCAAGCCATCAAACAACACAATGGTTGGACACCATCAAAGCTGACACCAGCGAGAGCACAGAAAAACTCAAAGAAATAGTGAAAGATTGGAAGATGCGGAGAGACCTGGCCCATAGAATCACCAAGAGTTGGACACAACTGAATGGATAAGCTCAACAGCAGCATTTTTCAAGTATCCAAAATACTTCTACTAATACACATATCTGTAATCCTCATAACAAATCTGTAAAATATTCTTCTTTAGGACATAATTTACTTGGATTTCAGTAAGGCATTTGATAAAGTAGATCACAACCTACTACTTGACAAGACAGAAAAATGTGGGGTAGACAGCATCACCACCAGATGGATCCGTAGCTGACTGACCGGCCGTACTCAGCGTGTGGTCCTCAATGGAACCACATCTACATGGAGGGAAGAGTGCCCCAGAGCTCTGTTCTGGGCCCAGTGCTCTTCAACATCTTCATCAACGATTTGGATGAGGGGATAGATGGGGAACTCATCAAATTTGCAGATGACACCAAGCTGGCAGGAATACCCAGAAGACAGGCTTAAGATGCAGAAGGATCTGGACAGATTTGAACACTGGGCACTATCTAACAAAATGAAATTCAATGGTGAAAAAAGCAAGGTTCTACATTTAGGCAAGAAAAACCAAATGCACAGGTATGGTATAGGGGGTACCTTGCTCAATAGCAGTAACTGTGAGAGGGACCTCGGAGTCCTAGTGGACAATCACTTAAATATGAGCCAGCAGTGTGCTGCAGCTGCCAAAAAGCCAACACAGTGGTAGGCTGCATTAACAGAGGGACAGAATCAAGATCATGTGAAGTGTTAATACCACTTTACAATGCCTTGGTAAGGTCACACTTGGAATACTGCATCCAGTTTTGGTCACCGCGATGTAAAAAAGATGTTGATACTCTAGTAAGAGTACAGAGAAGAGCAACAAAGATAATTAGGGGACTGAAGGCTAAACCATATAAGGAACGGCTGCTGGAATTGGATATGTCTAGTTTAATGAAGAGAAGGACGAGGGGGGACATGATAGCAGTGTTCCAATATCTCAGGGGCTGCCACAAAGAAGAGGGAGTCAAGCTATTTTCCAAGGCACCTGAAGGCAGGACAAGAAGCAATGGGTGGAAACTAAGCAAGGAGAGAAGCAACCTAGAACTAAGGAGAAACTTCCTGATAGTTAGAACAATTAACCAGTGGAACAACCTGCCTCCAGAAGCAGTGAATGTTCCAACACTGGAAGTTTTTAAGAAGAGACTGGACAGCCATTTGTCCGAAATGGTATAGGGTTTCCTGCCTGAGCAGGGGGTTGGACTAGATGACCTCCAAGTTCCTTTCCAACTTTATTATTATTATTATTATTATTACTTGAGGGAAGTAGATGTACCTTTCAAGTTATGGGGAAATGGTAAGGAAGGCTTCATCTAAGCAATTTAGCAAAACTGAATTCCTTCCTGTTAGGCATCCAAAAAGATAAGGAGGCCATATCCAATCTGACCAGGGGAAGAAAAGCCTTTGAAGCAGAGAGTTGCCTAAGGCTATTTAGTCAACACATTAATAACTCCATTAAAATTTGAATTGACCACTTCCTGTCTAAGAGTTTGCACACTACACCATGCAACGCTATAAGGCACAATCCTAGCATTAAAAACAGGTTGGTCTCAGGCTAAACCCTGGAAAAAACCTGCTGCAACGGAGTCAGGCAGGTTTTATAATTGACTTTTCTCATCTCCTGAGAGTTGCAAACAGATATGCCCAAAGCAGAATTTCCCCAGAGACCCTCCCAATGTGGATTCTGGTTCCCACTTGGCCCTCCTTTAGTAGACAGAAGACTCATTCGGGTGGAGCAGAAGGTGTCCTTGGGGTAAGTGATACCAAAAGATGTATGTTTAGTGGGAGGAGGAAACATCCTCAAATTTCCCTGATCCTGTGGAAACCCAAGGCTCATCTTATGGCAGGGCAGAGGGGGTGGCATGCCCAGCACCTGAGCCAGGCAGCTGGCAGCATGGCTGGGTTGGGATCCAGCTCTCAGATTTCCCCCCTCTCATCATTACATCCATTAAAGTCCCGTTCAGCCAGCACACAAAAGGATGGAACAGCAAATTAGCAGTAAACTCTTGAGCAAACATGACCCAGCCTGCATTATTAATGTCACTAGAGAATGGGTAATGTGAGCTTCCCTTGAAGGTCGGGGCTGAATCTTGCTTGATGGTAGTCATAGGTGACTTCTCACCTACTGGTGGGTCAGGCCTTTCAAAGAAGATGGGTGGAAAGTGAAGCTTCTTATCCAAGGATATAATATTGGATACTTAGCAGCACTTTAGCGCTGAGTGTTACAAATGTTTTGGCATTCTTGGGAAAATGCTAAAATTCGATCTTCTGACCCAGACTTTCATTTGTCTGTTGTGGTAAAAAACCTTCTCCCTATTTTTGTCCATCTGCTGCTTCATTTGATCTTTAAATGCCCTAGTAGTCCTTTTCTGGAGAACATTAAAACGTACTGCACATGGTTTTGTATAAAGACATACCAAGATCTTTTTTGAATATGAAGCCATATAAAGATAGATTTTGGATTATAATCTGTCACTTGCTTCAAGTTCAGTTGTGCATCATAGCAAACAATCACTTCAGCCATGTGCAGACTGCAACCTGGCAAACCAGGGAATGCCAGGTTAGTGGCTTCTTTAGCTAAGTTACAGCAAGCTTTAGAGCAGGGGTGTCCAACCTCTGATCGGTGTACCACTACTGGGCTGTGGCCCATTGGATCCAGGCCACACACAGGCGCATGAAACCATCCCCATCCCCTCCATAGCTGCCAGTCCCTGGAGCTGGAAAAGTCGAGGACCACTGCTTTAGATTATTCTGGTTACCAACTGCTTCCATTTGTATCAGGACACAACCTATTCTCTGTCCGTAAATCTCATTACCTTATGTGTTTAATCAACCAGTTATGTGGCTGATTTCAAACTTATATCATCTGGATTATTAGTATAGTCTTTCCCACTAAAGACTTAGAGCATCATTTAGCAGTTGTCCAACCTTGGCAACTTTAAGACTTCAACTCCCAGAATTCCTCATTCCATCTGGGAGTTGAAATCCATAAGTCTTAAAGTTACTAAAGTTGGATATCTCTGGTCTAGCATCACCCAGCCACCATTCAAGTGATATAAACCTTTGTTTTGCTGTTGTATCAACCTAAGAGTAGTAGGAAGACTCTAGAAGATGCTCAGGATCTTTCCCTATTACCCACTTAGGGCTGTCCACCCATCCTTATGTCACCAGAAAACTCTACAAGCATGAAACTTCGGTCCCCATTCCTGACCCCACCGCTATTGTGTCTTTTCTGACTCTCTGACAAATAATACCATCCTGATTTTGCATGTGCAGTATGTGATAAGTAAAGGAATTGGTTAATTCTTTGACTTTGTCACCCTCACCTTTCAGCATTTAATCAACTGCTGAGAAAAAATTTGCCAGTCATTGGGCTCCATCAGGAATGGGGTGAGTCTGGTTACAGGACCCTGTCAAACATCTCTAGGCTGTTTCCTACACTCCTCTCCTTCTATATGCTATTCTTTTATAACCTGAATTGAATTTTAAAAAAATCCCAATTACAATGCATTGGAAACAGGAAGAGGACTGAGTCACAAGCAATAGTTTTATTTCCAATTTATCTCTTTTTCCACAGTTTTTTTTTAATATAGGCGACAAATGCCAACTTCAAGATTCCTCAGCGCTATATTTGGAGGGCATTGGGAAAGGATACATTTATTTATTAAGTTTATTCACTGCACATCTTGCTGTCACGTGACTCTGGCCAGGTTTCTATCAGATAAAACTTAGTATAAAAATTAAAACAGTAAAATAATGAAACAATAAATACACTAACATTACAAAGAAATAGCTAAGATAGCAGGGGTATGCAACAGAGGTGAGATCTTCTAAATAATACAAGAACCACCTCCAAGATGACAGGCCCCTATGCAGGCCCCACGCCAACTGACAGGGCTAAGTGTTCACATCAAAGCCAAGTTGTTCCAGTGGGCAGGACTTCTCCTGGACCCTGCCAAAAATTCCTTGCTTGACAGGGTCGCAGCATACCCCTTCTGCCGGCACGAGTGGGATGGGCTGATCCCATTGGAGTGAGCTGGCTCCTCAGATAATCAGGACCCATGCAATAAAGGCCTATATAGACAATAACCAACACTTTGAATTGGACCTGAAAGCAAACTAGCAGCCAGCGCAGCTCACATAAGCACATGTTGCATCATTGATCCTTTCATTTCACTATTACACTATTTCACTTTCCTGTTACACATTTTTGCACAGGTCCTAGAGCCAAAACACTTCCAGTATTGCTGGCTGAGCATTTTAGTACCATTGCACAATGTGGGTGGAACGCTAAACATTTTGCTGGTATATCCAGTTCTTCAGGCTGATCACAGCAAAATGGCAGCAGGCAAGATTTGCAAGGAACCAGAAAAGAGAAGGTATGCCTACCTCAGCTTCAAACAGCCACTCCATACTGCTTTAATTCCATTTACTCGACTTTACCATGATTCTGTATAATAGGTGGAGAAGCATAACAGAGCTTACAGTATACTTGCAGTGACTTTGGATGATGTCTGAATGAAGGTGCTGGTACAACAAAGAAGTCTGAAGCTGGTCTCACTCAAGGGTTGGGTAAGAGATACGAGCAATGTCATGTGCATGTGGCAGAACTACCTCCTCATGTTGCAGGTCATGTTTACCTTGTGTTTAACAGGGGAGGCCATTCAGTCACTCTGCCTACAACCTACCTCTTTGCTTTTTGCCTGCTCTTCTCATTTCATTCAATATGTAGCAATTTAAAAAAAAAAAAATTTGGGATTTGATTAGTTTGATCTGCCTCAATCATCTGTGTTTTCCACAAAACACCCCCCCACACACACACACACACATCAATTTTGCAAGATGGCGCATGCTAAAATTAATTAAGCTGGCTGCAATAAAACATTGAACAAAACAAAAATTTAGGAAGACAGAGTAGGAACAAAAGAGTCTGGAGCATACCCAGACTTTCCTCAAGAAGCTGAGACATGTTTAGGCAGGCTTAGGGTTTCAGAAAGGGAGTGCCAGAGCAAGCGGGCCTCTTTAACCCATATCCCCATCCAGTGAATATTTTTAGAAAAGGGGACTCAAAACCAGATCTCTCCCACAGATCTTAGGGAACTTACAAAGAGAGAATGGAAGGGTAGGTAGAGTCTAAAAATAAGAATGATTATGTAAAGTGTAAGTCTTATCGATTTCAAATGTAGCTCAAGTCTGAACTGGAGGATAATTGCCACATATAATCATTAGTAAGGATAGAGCAGTCTGCATACTTTCACATTTTTTTTTCACAGAATCCTTTTATCTAAGCCTGGCGTATCCAACCTTTTGGCTTGCCTGGGCTGCACTAAGTGAAGAGGAATTGTCTTGGGCCACGTATAAAATATATAATAGAGTTAATGTATATAAATATCAAACTTCCTTTATTTTTGAATATTTTATTACGATCTTGGGGAGGGCGCATTACTAGTGGTCCTGTAGGCTGCAGGTTGGACATGCCTCATGTAAATCAAGCCAGCTGGGTGACTTTGGACCAGGCACACTCAGCCCACACACCTCACAGGGTTGTTGTTGTGGGGAGGAGGAAGACATGCTGGATATGTTCGCCACCGTGGGTTGTCTGTAAAAAGAATAAAGGTGGGATATGAATAAACAAATGAATAAATTTCCTCCTGTGTATGACCAATATAAAACTGAAATAAGCACCTCATATTTGACATGAGCACTACAATTCCCAGAACTTGCATCTATGAGCAACAGTAGCAAATTTGAACGCAGGGTATTTAGGCTTTGTCTATTTTCTCATATCATTGTTTTTCAATAGTTCAATCTTATGCACCTCTAGTCAGGCATAAGCTTCATTGAATTTGACTGGATTTGAATGTAAACACCCTATTTGGAGTAGTTTTAATTCTGTCCATAATTATCTGGGATTAAGCTACTGTAAGTTGGCTGAATCTTACTTCTCAACAGGTATGCAAAGAACTGCATTATTAACTATATGAAATCCTGCTGATTAACTATCACTTAACCTTGAAGTAGAACAAGGACATCAGGGTAGCTTCTTTTTATATATATTACAAACCATATTTATAAGCCAACTCTCTCCATCTTGATTTCTTGCCTTTTAATTCTTGATGGACTTTAGAATAGAACAGAACAGAACAGAATAGAATTGGAAGGGACCTTGGAGGTCTTCTAGTCCAGCCCCTTGCTCAAGCAGGAGAACCTATACCATCTCAGACAAGTGACTGTCTAGTCTCTTCTTAAAAATCTCCAGTGATGGAGCTATTCCACTGGTTGATTGTCCTCATTCTTAGGAAGTTTCTCTTTAATTCCAGGTTGTTTCTCTCTTTGATCAGTTTCTAACTATTATTTCTCGTCCTTCCCTCTGATGCTCTGGTGAACAAGCTGACCCCCTCTACCTTGTGGCAGCCCCTCAAATACTGGAATACTGCTATCATGTCTCCCCTATTTCTTCTTTTCTTTAGACTAGCCAAACCCAAGTCCCGCAGCAGTTCTTCATATGTTTTAGCCTCCAGGCCTTTGATCATCTTAGTTGCTCTTCTCTGAATTTTTTCAAAACTCTCAACAACTTTTTTGTGGTATGGTGACCAAAATTGGCTGCAGTATTCCAGATGTGGTCTTACTAGGGTTTTATAAAGTGGTACTATTACTTCGCGTGATCTTGATTCTATGCCTCTGTTTATACAACCCAGGATTGTATTAGCTTTTTTGGCTGCTGCTGCTGCACACTGCTGGCTCATAGTCAAGTGACTGTCCACTAGGACTCCAAGGTCCTTCTAACAATTATGGTTTTTAAGCCAGGTCTCACCCAGTATTCGTGCCTTTGGTTTTTTCTACCTAAGTGTAAGACTTTTCTCCACATTGAAATTCATTTTGTTGGATAGGGCCCATTGTTCAAGTTTGTCAAGATCTTTTTGGATCCTGAGTTTGTCTTCTGGGGTGTTGGCTACTCCTGACAGTTTGGTGTCATCTGCAAATTTGATGAGTTCCCCTTCACTTCCCTCATCTAAGTTGTTTATGAAGATATTGAAGAATACTGGGCCTAAGATGGAACTTTGTGGTACCCCACTGTTAACTTCTCTCCGTGTGGATGCAGTGCCATTGAGGACTACTCGTTGAGTATGGTTTGTCAGCCAGCTACAGATCCATCTGGTGGTGATATTGTCTATTCCATCTTTTTCTAGCTTACCAAGGAGTAGGTTGTGGTCTACTTTATCAAATGCCTTACTGAAGTCTAAGTATACTACATCCACTCTGTTTCACTGCTCTACTAGTTTAGTCACTTTATCAAAGAATGAGATAAGATTGGTTTGGCATGATCTGTTTTTAACAAACCTGTGCTGGCTACTAGTTATGACTTTGTTTGCTTCTAGTTGTTCACAGATCTGTTTTTTTTTATTATCTTTTCTAGGATCTTCCCAGGTATTGATGTTAAACTGATTGGTCTGTAGTTTCCTGGATCTGTTTTTTTTTTTTTTTTCCCTTTCTTGAAGATGGGGACCACATCAGCCCTTTTCCAGTCCTCAGGTACTTCCCCGGTGCTCCAAGATTTATGAAAGACGTGATGTAATGTTTCTGAGATAACATCTGCCAGCTCTTTCAGAACTCTGGGATGTAATCTGTCAGTCCCAGTGATTTACACTCACCTAGATCAAGAAGTGCTTCTTAAATTTGGAAGTCATATTTAACCACTATACTTTGTAAAACTATTTCTAATGGTAAAAGACTTTTGCTCATGTTTGTTTATGTATGTATTCATCCATGTGAGATTTTTAAATTAGGGCTGCAGAAATCCAGATGATTGTGTTTTCCTTACCACTTTTGAACCATCTAGCGGTCATGCAGATTTTTGCCACAAACTGGCAACACTTCTTCAAATCTGTTTATTTCGTTTCCTAAGTTGACAGCTTCCCAATGCCAGGAAGCGGAAATGTGTGTTCTCTTCTTGAGAAAAAAGGAGATGTTGTCATACCATAGTAGGAAGTAGTCAAGAATAAGCAATCCTTCCCCATTGCTCCAGATAATTTTTTTTTATTGAAAATTTTTATTTTTTAAAACATACAATCATTTATAAAAATACAATAAAATTTTAAAATAGAGAACCCCCCCCTTACCCTCCCTCCCACCCCCACCCCCCCTCCCTTCACTTCCCAGAGCAGAATACAGGGTTAAGAAAAAAAAAGAAAAAGAAAATTATAATAATTAAGAAAAAAGAAAAAAAAGAGAGAAAGAAAAAAATATAATAATTAACCTTTAACTCCATAACTTATAAAACAATTCTCTATAATATTTGATATTCATTCATAAAATAAATAAAACTTTTTAATGCCATATTTTTTCTGAATATAATCTATCCACCTTCCCCATACAGTAATATATCTTTCTTGTGTATGATCCTTTAAATAAGCAGAAATTTTTGCCATTTCTGCAAAACTAGATACTTTAAATATCCATTCTTCTAAAGTAGGCAAAGAATCTTTCTTCCAATATAGACCTACTAGTAACCTTGCTGCAGTTAATAAATTCAACATCAAAGTAGTTTCTTTTTCATTTAAGTCAACAAAAATACCAAGTAAAAATAGTTGAGGAGTAAACTTTATCTTCTTTCTAAAAATCTTTTGAATGTTCCACCAAATCATAATCCAAAAAGCCTTTACTTTTTTACAATTCCACCAAATATGAAAGTATGTCGCATCATTATTGCCACATCTCCAACATTTGGGCTGTATGTTGGAATACATACAAGATAATTTTTTAGGATCTAAATGCCATCTATAAAACATTTTATAAAAATTTTCTCTCAAATTTTGAGCTTGTGTAAATTTAACATTTCTTATCCAAATTATCTCCCATAAATCCAATGAGATCGGCTCCTGTATATTCTGAGCCCATTTAATCATACAATCTTTAACCAATTCTGTTTCCGAATCTAACTCTAATAAAACATTATATATTCTTTTTATATGAGCCGGACCTTGGTTTTTAATCTGAATAACCAATTGTCTATCTTCTAGTGTTATTCCCTCTTTCTTGTCTACAGTCCATCTATCCATTATTTGTAAATATTGAAACCATGACTGTAGAATATTTTGCTGCCTTAATACATCTAGGGATTTCAAATGCCAATTCGAACCAGAACAAATTAACAATTTGCTCCAGATAATTTGATGTGGCACATTTTTATACTTTAAGGCATGCTAGTATAATCAGGCTTAGTCTCCAAATTTGGGAAATCAGGCTAAAGTGAGGTGGCATAGGCAGGATCACTCCCTCTTGGTTATTTGAAGGATTCATTTCAGGCAAGAAGTATATAAAAATCAATCACTAGATCAGGGTTTCAAACTCACCGCATCACATGACGTGTTGCATCGTATCGCAACTTTTTTCCTCTTGCTGGAGCTGGGGTGTGCACAGCTTCCGCATGATGCATTCGGCCTGTGGGCCACCAGTTTGACACCCCTGCTCTAGATAATCCTTCTCCCAAAGGCTGTGCTGAAAAGCAGCATAGGTAGTCCTTGACTTACAACCACAATTGAGCCCGAAATTTATGTGGCTTTATGTAGTAAGTGAATTTTGCCCCATTTTACAACCTATCATACCACAGTTGTTAAATGAATCATTGCAGTTGTTAAGTTAGTAACACGGTTGTTAAGTGAATCTGGCTTCCCCACTGACTTTGCTTGTCAGAAGGTTGCAGAAGCTGATCACCTGACCCCAGGACACTGCAACTGTCATAAATATGAATCAATCGCCAAGCATCTGAATTTTGATCACGTGACCATGGGGATGCTGCAATCATCGCAAGTGTGAAAACTGGTCATAAGTCACTTTTTCCAGTGCTGTTGTAACTTTGAACAGTCATTTAATGAACTGTTGTAAGTCAAGAACTATATGTAATTGACATCCTGTTGCCTTGGGAAGTTTATTTCCTTCTTAGGCCTAGAAAGCAGAAATAGTTGCCCCACTTGGACAACTATTATCTATGTTTCCACTACCCAAGGGACAGGAGGCATGAAGAACACCTCAAAGTCACAAGTTATGTCAGAAAAATAGGAGAGAAAAGATATTTGAGAGGCTGGCATGGAGGCAATAAAAAGAGAGGGACCAGGAATACATATGCCTGCTCGACTTTCCATCAGTGCTTGTTACCTTGTGCAGTCCCAATAATTTTCAACCAACAGAAAGGGAAAAGCTTGGAATTTTCATTGGTCTTGACCCTCAACAAACAGACCTGAATAAAGTCAAAGGAAAACAGAAATTATTTACCCAAAAACCTTTGAGCAGACTTGACACAAAGTAAGCAATTTTGAAACACTTTTCTGATTCAGCATGCCTTACAATATTGGTTATTGAAAATCTACAATGGAAAGATGCTATGGTCTTCCAATTCAGGTTTGTAAGCTTTCCAAACAGATCTAAGTTACCTACTGCGTAATAGAGACAGCTGGATTTTTATGTTGTTTTACATATCAGAGTTCAATTTGTATCTTTACTACAACTTTGGAATCTTTAAGGCTGTCTGAGGAATTCTGGGAGTTGAAGTCCATGAGTCATAAAAGAGCCAAGATTGCCTAACCCTAGTATAGGCCATATAGGCTATCTTGGGAAATAGCAATGATATTGGCTATAAATCCCTTTTTCCCTTTAGAATTGTGTCCACCCATACAAGGAGGCAGACAGAGGGAACGATAAACTGGCATGGGAAAAAAACATCCTGGGACTTCAACAAATAAGGAACAACAATTTTTCCAGTTTGCCTTCAATTGTGATTCTCTATGCATGGCAGCCATTTTGTGAATATGCAAGGTGCCCCCGGTACCATTTTGTGACAGTGCTTATAATGTGTTCTCAAAATCCTATATATGCCCACTACCAATACTGCTTTATGAAATATTGTGTAAGTCATGGAAGAATTTGCTGATTTCTTCTTCAGTACTTATGAGATTACAAAAGGCATATTTCACTGACGTGTCTTCTCAAACTGATGATCAGCAAATTTAAGGAATTAAAAAACTATGAGACCTAGTCTGGTATATTGGTTAAGGAATCAGGCTCCAGGAAACTCTGAGTTCTAGACCTGCCTTAGGCACAAAGCTACTTGGGTGACATTAGGCCAGTCGCTGTCTCTCGGTCCTTGAAAGAAGGCAAGACCATACCCTTTCTGAAAAACATTGCCAAGAAAACTGCATGTCCTAGTAAATGCCAGGAATGAAAACTGATTTCAAAGCTGCTGTCAGACCCAGCGTGATACTTACCTTCCGAAGTCCGGAATGTTCCAGTTAACCATGTGTTCCAGCCGAGTCCGGTAGCTTCGTGAGCTACATCGCCAACAGCGGTGGCTGAACGGGTCACGTGAACATCCTATATTGCCAGCACACAACCGGACGGAGGCTACGTAGAAATGGAATATGGAGAAGCCGAATGCTGTTAAAACTGTTATGGCTTATGTTGCTGGAACCGTGACTCTGTGAATGATGGGAACTGGGACGCTGGATCTGACAACACTTGGATACCGGGAGGGGGTATTATAGGAAAAGGTTGAGTGGGACATTAGGAATGAGAATGGTGTGAACACAACGCATGGACTCAATGTAAGCTTCGAACATAAGTACTAGCTGGATCGGGGCGTAGGTAGGGTGGAGGACTATTACGAGGCAGGTATGGGGAGGGGGACAGGTGGATTCTAGATGACCAATTAACCGTCAATTGGGGTGTGTACTCTGGGTGTGGTGGAGGAGTGTATTTAGGGCAATGAATGGAGCTTCGTTCCAGTGCTAACTTAGTTTCAACATAGTGAATAAAGCTTGTTGAATACTGCAACGTTCCTGTTTCCTGGCTTTCGCGAAGCGCGGTTAGGATGTTCTGTTAGTTAAATACTGCAACGTTCCTGTTTCCTGGCTTTCGCGAAGCGCGGTTAGGACGTTCTGTTAGTATTCCGTATACTCCAGATCCTCAATCCTGTGACGGTGAAGCTCCACTTACCGAAACTACTTGGTAAGATACACCCGGTTTTTCATGTAAGTTTGTTGAAACCCATGGGAGGACCGTCCCATGAGATACCCCCAGGACCTGTTACGCCAGGACGATATGAAATACAGGACATAATTGATTCGCGAGTAGGGGGGGTAGACTTTATTATCTGATATTGTGGAAGGGATACCCTCTGTCCGAAGCCTCTTGGGTAGGAAAACATGATATATCGGCCCCTGGTCTAATCCGTCGGTATCACAGAGCACTACCACACAAACCAGGGGGCGACTAGAAAGGTTATTGTATGTGAACATTGGCATGATTAATCAATTTCCCATTTCTCACCTTCAGGGGGCCCTGTGGTGAGGGGGGCCGAATGTCAGACCCAGCGTGATACTTACCTTCCGAAGTCCGGAATGTTCCAGTTAACCATGTGTTCCAGCCGAGTCCAGTAGCTTCGTGAGCTACATCGCCAACAGCGGCAGCCGAACGGGTCACGTGAACATCCTATATTGCCAGCACACAACCGGACGGAGGCTATGTAGAAATGGAATATGGAGAAGCCGAATGCTGTTAAAACTGTTATGGCTTATGTTGCTGGAACCGTGACTCTGTGAATGATGGGAACTGGGACGCTGGGTCTGACAACACTTGGATACCGGGAGGGGGTATTATAGGAAAAGGTTGAGTGGGACATTAGGAATGAGAATGGCGTGAACGCAACGCATGGACTCAATGTAAGCTTCGAACATAAGTACTAGCTGGATCGGGGCGTAGGTAGGGTGGAGGACTATCACGAGGCAGGTATGGGGAGGGGGACAGGTGGATTCTAGATGACCAATTAACCGTCAATTGGGGTGTGTACTCTGGGTGTGGTGGAGGAGTGTATTTAGGGCAATGAATGGAGCTTCGTTCCAGTGCTAACTTAGTTTCAACATAGTGAATAAAGCTTGTTGAATACTGCAACGTTCCTGTTTCCTGGCTTTCGCGAAGCGCGGTTAGGATGTTCTGTTAGTTAAATACTGCAACGTTCCTGTTTCCTGGCTTTCGCGAAGCGCGGTTAGGACGTTCTGTTAGTATTCCGTATACTCCAGATCCTCAATCCTGTGACGGTGAAGCTCCACTTACCGAAACTACTTGGTAAGATACACCCGGTTTTTCATGTAAGTTTGTTGAAACCCATGGGAGGACCGTCCCATGAGATACCCCCAGGACCTGTTACGCCAGGACGATATGAAATACAGGACATAATTGATTCGCGAGTAGGGGGGGTAGACTTTATTATCTGATATTGTGGAAGGGATACCCTCTGTCCGAAGCCTCTTGGGTAGGAAAACATGATATATCGGCCCCTGGTCTAATCCGTCGGTATCACAGAGCACTACCACACAAACCAGGGGGCGACTAGAAAGGTTATTGTATGTGAACATTGGCATGATTAATCAATTTCCCATTTCTCACCTTCAGGGGGCCCTGTGGTGAGGGGGGCCGAATGTCAGACCCAGCGTGATACTTACCTTCCGAAGTCCGGAATGTTCCAGTTAACCATGTGTTCCAGCCGAGTCCAGTAGCTTCGTGAGCTACATCGCCAACAGCGGCAGCCGAACGGGTCACGTGAACATCCTATATTGCCAGCACACAACCGGACGGAGGCTATGTAGAAATGGGAATATGGAGAAGCCGAATGCTGTTAAAACTGTTATGGCTTATGTTGCTGGAACCGTGACTCTGTGAATGATGGGAACTGGGACGCTGGGTCTGACAACACTTGGATACCGGGAGGGGGTATTATAGGAAAAGGTTGAGTGGGACATTAGGAATGAGAATGGCGTGAACGCAACGCATGGACTCAATGTAAGCTTCGAACATAAGTACTAGCTGGATCGGGGTGTAGGTAGGGTGGAGGACTATCACGAGGCAGGTATGGGGAGGGGGACAGGTGGATTCTAGATGACCAATTAACCGTCAATTGGGGTGTGTACTCTGGGTGTGGTGGAGGAGTGTATTTAGGGCAATGAATGGAGCTTCGTTCCAGTGCTAACTTAGTTTCAACATAGTGAATAAAGCTTGTTGAATACTGCAATGTTCCCGTTTCCTGGCTTTCGCGAAGCGCGGTTAGGACGTTCTGTTAGCTGCAAAACAAAACCTGTTGAAAAAGCTGTACTCGTGCAGGTGGAAGGCACTTGCACTCATGTGCGAAGTTCCACTTGTGTGAGTGCGCAAAGCTCCATTTTAGTGCCAGTCACGCAAGCACTCTCCACGCCCTCTGCCTGAGCATCCTTCACTTGAGCATGCATACGCCTGCCACTCACACACATACACATCACCGGGCCAGACTGCCAAGTTGGAAAGGTGGGGGACCGCTGCCCAAGAGTACCTAAAATTAGTGGCCATGTTCACAGATCAGAATAATTAAGCCGTGGTTTCCATATCAAAGTTCACAGTACTTTCAATATATTACTTTTAACACAGACAAGGATACTGGCTTGAGTTTAGTTTGGCCTGATCTATTATCTATTATTCTAGGCAAAGGAATCGTGGCTGAAATATATTTTTTGAATATCTGAACGTATCCAATCAACAAATCACAACTTGAAAACAGTGTTAATATATATCTGCTTGTTTTTAATTATGCATTGTTATCATCATCATCATCATCATCATCATATCATCATCATCATTATCTATCCACTGCAGGATGAATGCCTGTTCTGCATGTTTGCAACCTATCATCCTCTGCCTTCAGGCAGGTAGTTGCCCTATGGTCTCTGAGGAATGAGGGCTGTTTTTGAGGTTCTATTGGCATGTGTAAGGAATAGACCATAATCTGCTACACTGGTCCAATGCGGGTTGGCAGATGTGTTGGTATTAGTCTAAGGCAGTGGTTCTTAACCTTTTTGAACGAATCGCCCTCTTGAGCCAATGAGGAAGTTGTCATCGCCCCCCTCCCCGAACATAATCTCTCAATCACAACATAGGAAATAATTCTTCAATTTATCCAAACACTTTTTTTGTTTTCTTTAAAATTGTCATCAGGACATATCGATGCAAATAATTTATTTCCAGTCTTTTTCCCATATCAACTGTGTGAAAAATTTTGGTGCCACCTGTCACTTTTGTTGTCCTTCGTTCAATGGCGAATGAAGATCTCACATGTTAGAAGTAATAATTCTTTATTTCTCCTTCTGCTCACTACAACAACAACAGTGAGACTCTCAGATCTCTTATTTAGTGTCTGGATTCCCGGGCAAAAAAGCTACAGTTAATGGCACGCTTTCGCACCTTGCGCATGCACGCAAGGCTGGCACCTCTCAGTCTGGTCCCAGGCAGCTTGCAGAAACCCCGGGACCATACCAATGTCCCGAGCCTGCTTTTGCAGGCTCAGGACACAACACCTTTATTCCCAAACTTCGTGATACATGTATTTCATTATTATCTTATTTATTCAAGACACTTAAATGTAATGACCACTGAAAACAAAATTCAATTGCAAGAAAGTGAAATGCCCGAAAAGAAAAACAGTAACATTTAATGACTGAATTACAAGTGAAATTTAAGACGCAAAAAAATATATAAAAAGGGCATAAGAACAAACTGCAATGCAGGAATTAAGAATTTCAAGACAAAAACTCTGAAACTAAATTAAGATTCAAGGAAAGTATATATAGTCACGCACACTGTAAAAAGGATTAAAAAGACACAAAGAAAATATAATATTGAACTGGAGTGCACACTAAAAAAGTACAATACAAAGAGACACACAAAATGTTTTACAGAGCCACTCAGCATGTGATGTTTCGAAAGAAGCGCTCCCCCCTCCATCATTCTGGCCAATGGCGCACCACTGTATGGGTAGAGGCTGCTGCGCAACGCGCATGAAGATAAGTGATGCGTATTCACATATGTATGGCATTTTGTATTGAAGCTAGCTGGAGGAACATTTGAAAACACAATTCAATCCACTAATAGCGAGCGATCTGATGTTTTTGTACGACAGATATACAGTGATTCACTGTATGAAAAAGTCTCAAAAGTGTCCCCAAAACTTCTCATTCCATCATCCCCATATCGCCCCCTTCTCGTTCCTTTGCCCCTGTGTCACCCCTTTTCGTTCCATTGCCCCCCTGAAAAATGAAATCGCCCCCTGAGGAGCGATATCGCCCAGGTTAAGAACCACTGGTCTAGGGTATCCATCATGGCCTGTTTGCCTTGGGAGATCCTTCTGGACATATACATGTCTGACGACTTAGCCCACAATTTCATTTACCCACACAAGCCCCTTTGCCTTCTCAAGGCCCCAATCAAGGAAGGCTATGGATTGTTATACCAGGCTTTATTTATTAGATCTGTTTGCCACCCAGCTCACCAAGATGGCTTACTCCTAGTCCAGGGGTAGGCAACCCAAAACACTTAAAGAGCCACTTGGACCGGTTTCCCACCAAAAACAAAACACTGGGAGCCGCAAAACCCTTTTCATATCTAAAATGAAGATAACACCGCATATATCCTTTTTTACCTTTATTATAGGTGTGTGTGTGTTTGTGTGTGTGTGTATATGTGTGTGTGTGTATATATGTATATGTATGTATGTATGTGTATATACTCACACACACACAGGTAAAAAAAGGATATATGCAGTGTTATCTTCATTTTAGATGTCAAAAGGGTCTCTCTCTCTCTCTGTCTCTCTCTCCTTCCCTCTCTATCTGCCCTTGGTCTGCCACTCCTCTTCCCTCCCCCCCCCACGCTCTCTTTCTTTCTTTCTCTCTCTCTCTTTCTTTCTCTCTCTCTCTCTTTCTCTCTCTCTCTTTCTCCCCCCCCTCCTATCTCCTGCTCACCTGGCAAGCTTCAAGCTGTTGTCCAACAAGCAACCTTGTCTCTTTTATGACTTATGGACTTCAACTCCCAGAATTCCTGAGTCAGCCTAGCTGGGCTAGCTAGCTCTCTCCTGCCCTTCCCGCTTCCTGCTTCCTGCAGAGACGCAGCAAAGGGAGGAGCTCCGCCCAGTAAGCTTTTCAGCTGCTCGGAGAATACTGTGAGTGCACTCTCTTTTACACATACACACACACACACACACACACACAGAGAGAGAGAGAGAGAGAGAGAGAGAGAGAGAGAGAGAGAGAGAAGCAGGGAAGCGCAATTGCCTCTCTCTGTCTCTGTCTCTCTGCAAAGGCAGAGGAGGCTGGGAGCCACAGGGGAAGGCCCAAAGAGCCGCATGCGGCTCCGGAGCCGCAGGTTGCCGACCTGTGTCCTAGTCTGATTTTATGTTCTTGTCCAAACATCTTGCCAGCCCACAAAGATAAATTTAAGCTAGAATTGGATTATTTTAAATAAAATATGTTACTTAAAGGAAAAAGAGAGGGAATATTTGATGTATTGCTTGAATTATGTATATATGTTTTGTCTGCGGATGTTTGACCACCCTAACACCACGGTGTGTCTTGAGCACTTTGTTTTAAAAATCAAAAAAACAATAAAACATGCCTTAAAAAAAAAGATTACTTTAATTCTCTCAAGATGGCCTGCAGCATGTTCAACAAACCATGATTAAAACATTGCCAGGCTTCAACCTTATTCTCTCTTATTCAACAAGATTGTCCTACTCTATTTTTTTTAAAAAAAAAAATAACAGACAATTTCATAAACTGAAGAGGGGGAA